CCAGTGATGAGGACTCGTGTCTACACGTACCAGCCCAGTGATGAGGATATGTCTACACATACCAGCCCAGTGATGAGGACTCGTGTCTACACATACCAGACCAGTGATGAGGACTCGTGTCTACATGTACCAGCCCACTGATGAGGATGTGTCTACACGTACCAGAAAACGGGTTCCGCAGTACCCTGGCTGATGCTGCCAACAATTTTCTTACTGCTTTGTGAAGTTCTTTTCTTGCCTGCCAAACAAGCCCTAAAATGATGGCAGCAAGTAAGACCAATATCACGCTCCAATACTTCCAAAAGAAATACATAAACCAGGTCCCAAAATTAATAAATAGCAAAGAACATTTAAAAAAAAGAAAGAAAGAAAAACCTGTGACCTCTTAAAGTCACTATTAAAAGCAAGTATTTACTATGGGAACACAGAATGCTCTGGGCTCCAGGACAAGGTCAAGGAGACAATGTGAAAAGATGAGAGCAGCACTATAGAAAGCCTCCTGAATAACGGAAGCTGACTAACATTCAGAAGAATCTTCCTTGTAAATAGCTGACCTAGAACTGAACTTGGAAAATGCTTTAAGAATGAGGTTGAGGGGCTGGAGAGATGGCTCAGAGGTTAAGAGCATTGCCTGCTCTTCCAAAGGTCCTGAGTTCAATTCCCAGCAACCACATGGTGGCTCACAACCATCTGTAATGGGGTCTCCTCTTCTGAGTGCAGGCATACACACAGATAGAATATTGTATACATAATAAATAAATAAGTATTAAAAAAAAACGAGGTTGAGCCTCGGCAGACAGGTAAACTCTAAGAGTGGTGGCTCAATCTACACAGCTGAAAGTGTAAGCAGCCCCAGTGGATGCTCAAGTCCAGGGAGGTAAAGCAGTAAATGTGGTGTGCTGATAATGACAGGTCAGAGGGCGCAGGGGAGCCCATCCCATGCAGGGGCTGCAACCTGCTCACAGGTGCATGACTGCATCCTAGGAGAGACAGCTGCGAGGCAGGGTGGGGTGGGGCCTCACCAGGATGCCCAGAGCTAAAGAAAAGACTCTTCTCTGAGCTAAAATCTCACATCTATCAAGTAAGCAAGAGGCCTGCAAGCAACCTTGGCACTGAGAAGGGCATGTCCTAACTGGCATCCACAGAGCGCTCAGCCTTTGTAACACACGGAGTGGTAAAACAGTTGAATTCATACTTCTCAACCTGTTTCATGAGTTTGGTTGCATGAGTCACCCTTACAGATGGTCTCTGAGCTAAATGACAAAACAAGCATTTGCATTTAACAAACTGAGCTGAAGGCCCCACTGAAGAAGGAAGGCAGGGCCAGACACAAGGGCTCAGCCAGTTCTTACTGTGTTCTGAGGGAGCTAAAGACTTGGGGAAGCACAGAAGCCCCAAATCCGGTCATCAGTTAATGTGGCTTGAATGAGAGTGGCCCCATAGGCTCATATATTTGAGTGCTTAGTCACCAGAGTAATGAACTGCTTGATGGGATTAGGAGGATTAGGAGGTGTGGCCTTGTTGGAGGAAGTGTGTCACTGGGGGTGGGCTTTGAGGTTTCAAAGGCTTATGCCAGACCCAGTCTCTGCCTGTCTCTGGATCAAGATGTAGCTCTTGGTTACTACTCTAACACCTGCCTGCACGCCACCATGCTCCCTCCCTGCCAAGATGACAATGACTCGCCCTCTGAAACTGTAAGCCCCAAGGTCAATGCTTCCCTTTATGAACCTTGCCTTGGTCATGATGTCTCTTCATGGCAACAGAACAGAGAACGAGACTCTTGGAGTCTGTCTTGCACAGGCTCTGCCGACTCTTCCAGAAGGCTGAGCCTACCCTGTCAGCACTGGACTCTATCTAAACAGACCCATTTCTGCATTCAACACCTAGTTTCTGCTCTAGAAAGATGGAGTTAACTTACCGTGAGTTTCTACCTTGTCTGCAGGAACTGTGCGCACATAGATATAAGACTTCATTTTTTCTCTTTCTACCACCTGAGTGTCTAATGTTAAAGATTTCTTCAGGGCCAGAACTTCATAAGTAAGAAATAAAGAACCCCTAAAGAGAAACAAAAAGTTCCTTATAAATAAGGATCTAAATATGACCCAATAGTGAACTGTTTTCTATTTTACTAAAAACACAGCCTACAGTAACACAAAAGTATCATTTTACATGTGTGTGTACACATATATATACTTATGAGCACACATTCATCTCAGTTTAACAGCAAGCGGCTGCACAATTGCATTCAAGGAAGAAATAGAAGATTAGCAGCACCCCAAAGCGTGCTCTCTCATTCCTTCCTGGCTAATCAGGAGTAATAAGCAGAATGTCATTGCTGTTCATCACGTGTGTGCTACCTGTGTGTGCTTCCTTAAACAACAGTGTTCTGTGTGGCTGACTGTGAATACTCACACTAGATGTCTTCTTTCATTCAGCCTTATGTTCACGTGACTCACCCACACTTTCGTCTGTACACATGGTCCCCTTGCGACAAAAATACACCTACCACACCTTATTTACCGGCTCTCCTGCAAACACTTAGGGCATTTTTAATTTGAACCTACTGCATGCAATGCACTACACATTTTATAAATAAGTACATGTGTTCCTCTACAAAGGCATGTTCAACATTCTGACAATTCACATCCATGGCTACTCCATGTTAAGTGGCTTCTGTTAAGATTTCCCAGAGTGGCATCACGAAGATAATTAACTGTTCACTGCTACTTACCCTAAAATGAAGGATCCAGTAAATCTTATTATATTCCCTTCAAAAAGAAAGAGGAAAATTCAACGTGACTTCATTTTTAAAAGTATGACAAAAAATAGGCAACAGTGTAAACTTTTTGTGTATAACTGGGCCAAAGCTAAATTGTTGTTATATAGGTACCACATTACATTACATATTATATGTAGTATATGTCACTATACTACATGGTGGCACTGGGTAAAACATATGACTTATGCTCATGGCTTCCACACTCATCCTTCAAGCTCCTGTTATGCTACCCCAAGCCAAGTCACTGGGAATGCAGGTCCCCGTGCCAGTTGTACAGCAGAATCACAGACTTCCAGAGTGGACCACCAGGAAGGTCTGCAGCTAGAGCTAAGGTGGGCTCACCAAGCTTCTCAGACTCTATAGAGAGACTGTCTGTCAAGTGGGAACAGTAAAATGACTTTCCCCCCAAATAACTGTGGTATACTTGGTCATTTAAGCACCAGAGATCACATGGCCCCAATTAAAAAATAGGAATGTGTGCGTGTGTGAATGTATGCCCTCTCTCAGGCATGGGTGCGTGAGCATGGTGCATGGAGGCCAGAGGAGGGTATCTATCTTTCTCTTTGCTTCATTCTGCTGAGACAGAGTCTCTCACAGAACCTGGAGCAAGGCAGGCAGTGATCTTACCTCTGCCCTAAACCCTCAGGGCTGAAGTCACACATGCCCGGATTACATCCAGCTTCTTACTCACATGGGCTCTGGGGATTTGAACTCAGATCTTCATGCTTGTACAGCAATACTCTTTCCCACTGAGCTGCCCTGCCAGCCCAGCAGATATTTGTGCTTAGTTCTGTCTGGGGAGACGGGATCTGACTATGTAATCCTGGCTAGCCTGCTTTCTATGTTTGGGACTGGCCCTAAACTCACAGAGATCCATCTGCCTTTCTCTCCGGAGGGCTAGGATTAAAGGCATACTCCATCACACCCAACTCCAGTGGGTCTATCTTAAAGTTTCAAAGGAAACAGCTTAAGGACAGGGACTTCACCGTATTAACACTGTCATCTCAGGGCTGAAAAATAGCGTCTAGTGCAGAGCAGATGGTCAATAAATGTTTATCGTGAAATAAATAAGGGTGATTGTAGCCAGCTTCATCGCAGGACTATCTTTGCACTGCCAGCCCCAAAACAAGGACATGGAAACTCAACTATGAAAGCTTGGCCATTAGCTTAGGCTTATCTCACCAGCTCTTGTAATTTAAATTAATCTGCTTTTATTAATCTACGATCTGCCATGTGGCTCAGTTACCTCTACTCTGTACTGTATGCCCGACCTCTGCAGTGTCTCTCTGGCATCTCCAAGTGCCTAGATTCCTTTTCCACCTTCTCTCTCTCCCCTATCCTCTCCTGCCTAGCTATTGGCTATTCAGCTCTTTATTAAACCAATCAGAAGGTGCCTTGGCAAAGACACATCTTCACAGTGAACACAAATATTCCACCCTTGTTATACAAAGAAAGAACCAGCGCGGGGGGGGGGGGGTTAATTTTTCTATTCAAACACCGAGAAACACCTCCTGCATACCGTAGACGACAGGAAGCAATGGGTTGGAATAACAAACAAGACACTGCGCTCCGAGTCTGTCATGGGAGAGTCAGATAATTAACCAAGTTCTATACTGATTCTACTAAATGGCAAATGGTGGCTCTACCCTGGCTTTTGCAGGTAGTAGGCAACAGTGTGGGGCAGATCAGAGCAGATTCCATGCCACCACAGGAAAAAGAGCTCTTGTCTGGGTCTGGGCTTACAAATGCAGCACGAACTCATTAGTACAGAGCACAGAAGCAGACGGGAGTCAGACTGGGCTGTCAGCTTGCAACGCACTCCAGGAAAGCGGCCACCAGCTCCCCACTGTTTCTATTAGAAAATGCTGTTCCCTGAACTGTACTCACGGATGTTCCTCCAGGACGTGTGACTTCTTAAACGGGAAGCCGAGGTTCCTATTCTTCTGCAACAGATGACACAATAGGCACCGAGGGACATCCTGGGTGGAGAGCAATGGAACAAGGGCAATTGGTATAGACGTAAGGTCAGACCCTTTCTTCTGACCCTAAGCACAGGTCACTATCACAGTGGGTTGCCCGCATTAGAGGGCTCAAAACTCAACAAACATCTCAACTAAGGGTTTCAGTCCTAAAAACAAAGCAGGGAAATTTTACTAGCACTTTCATTATTCTTCAAGTTGTGTTCAATTGTGAGTAGTGATTAATAGGAAATCAGGAAATTTTAAGTTATTAAGTAGAATCCCAACACGGACATTTAACATTTTTAAATGTCCTTTAAAGACCAGATAAATAAAGCCCAACAGCCGTGGAGAGAAGCAGCAAATTTCCACTAAGCGGCCAGCACTAACGGCCTGGTAAGTTAGGCCACTCTCGTCTAAGGAGCCCCAGACTCACCCTACGGATCTTCTGACCTCAAGTAATGAACAGCAGCCTGGGCCATCAGGTCTTGGGATAGTCCATGATGCTGCAACAAGCTAACGCACACAGCTTCTAAACATTCCTTTACATTTTATCATTTTTTTAAAATAGATAGGGTCTCTCTACATAGCCCTGGATGTCCTGGAACTCACTATGTAGACCAGGTTGGCCTCTAACTCACAGAGATCCACTTATCTCTGTCACCTGAGCACTTTTTGTAGATATAAGTCTCTGTGTTGGAACTCTGGGGCTGCCAGGCCCTTGTGGTGGTATGTTTGACTCAGGTTTTAACATCTTTGATCAAGAGCTCATCTCTGTGGGTCTGTTTTCTCTAGGAGTCCTGTATGCTCTGATCCATATATAGTACAGTATAACATATCTCCACAGACTAAGACAGATAATTCCATTTGATGGGCTCAAGCGTTGGACTTAAGAGTTTCAATTTCCAAAGCTTTAGACATGGTTCAGTCAGTAAAATGTTCGCAAGAAAAGCATGAAGACATGAGTTTGGAGGCATGTGGCAAGCCTGGGCAGCAGAATGTGCCTATCACCCCAGCACTGTGGATAGGACCCCAGCACCGTGGATAGGACCCCAGCACCGTGGATAGGACCCCAGCACTGTGGAAGCAACAGGGGCTTCCTGGAACTTGCTGGTGGCCAGCAAGTCTAGCCAAATTGGTCAACTCCAGGTTTAGAGAGTTTCTGAAAAACTAAGATGTTGCCAAGGAGATGATTCAGTGAAGGGAAAGCGCCTGTCACCAAGCCTGGGGTCCTGGCAGTGGAAAGAGAATCAACTCGTGCATGCTGTCCTCTGACCTTCACACAGGTACGATGGCACCCCTGCCTTCTGTGATTAAAGGTGTGTGCCACTACCGCCTGACTAGGGAAATTAATTTTGAGTGCTTCTCAAATTCCCTCTTATTGGTTCTATCAATTCATTTTATGGAGAGTATAGAAGTAGGTGCCACCACAAGATTCTGAATTCACTCTGTCATGGGATGCTGTCAGTTATGTAACGCCAAGCAATAGAGTAACCACCAAATCTTTAAATTTTAAATTAAACAAATTTAAGACAGGCATGGTGGCACACACCTTTAATCCCAGCACTCAGGAGGCAGAGGCAGGTGGATCTCTCTGAGTTTGAGGCCAGGCTGGGTTACATACAGAGTTGCAGAACAGCCAGGCAAGTCTACATAGTGAGATGGGAAGGGGAGAATGGAGACAGAAAAAGCCAATACGGAGCCTGCTGACAATAATCAAGGAGAAAAGGTACCTGAAGTTAAGGTAGTGGCTCTGAAAATAATCAACAAAACAGACGTAGGAGCCAACAGGACAAGGAAATGAACAGAAAGCTGAATGTGGCGAGGAAGAGAGCGGCAAAAGATAAGCCAGGTTCTCAGTCTCTGACCTGGACTCATAAGAAAACACTCATCAAAGCAAATACTGGGAAAGGAGTGGATGTGGCAGTAAGGAGGGATTCCCAACTTAACACATTTAGATTAAGGGCTTTATGAAATACTCAGGTAAGGCCAAAAGGTGCCACAGTGCCACAGAAAGTTCTGCTGCATAGGCACAGTCACTCACTAACACGTGTCGCTGGGGCCACAAGTCTGGAAACTTTAATGACAAATTATTATCCAGAATATCTCCTAGGAGCAGGTTCTGCACAGGTTCTTAATAAATGCAGATTCCTAGACACCTAATGCGTCTCTGCTCAGTCTCACAAGACTGAAACCACAGTGTTTTTCCTTACTGAAAGATCTGAGGGGGATCCTCATGTGGACTGGAGATAGAATTTGGTTCTTGCAGGTGGTTGGCAGGATTCAGCTACACTCTAGGATAAGACTGACATCTCCCTTTCTTTGCTGGTAATGAAGGAGCCACCTAAGCTCCTAAATGCCTCCCAATGGTGGTTCTGCAGACAGCCCACTACACTGCAAAGTGACAACAGCTTGTCCCATCCTTGCCAGGTCTGTCTGATCTACTTTCAAGGTCTCTGCATGGATACAGAAGGCTTTCCCAGATAACTATGATGATCTTTCCATTACAGACTGGGAAGGGACCACAAGCAGGTAATGAGAAGTAAATATGAAGAAAATACATTATAATATACAATGTTATAAACAACATTGTATAAATAATGTATAAAACAACAAATAAGGAACATATTTTTATATTAAAAATCTATTCATGATCTATAAACTCAATTCTATTTTCAAAATTCCCTTTGCTATCTACATAAAGTATAATCACACGTTCCAGGGAAGGCGGCATGGGCATTTTGGGGGGGGGCGCAGCATTCTGCCTACCTGAAGCTCCTCTAAGCATTGTGGTACAAGGTTTTGTAGACATGTTTTCATACTTATTCAATAAATGCCCCAGGAATGAGATAGCTGGGTCAAGAAACAATGTTCAATGTTTTTAAGCACAATTGCAACATTTTATATTGCACCCAGCAAAGCCAAGTGTCCCAACTGTCTGACATGCTTGCTGATGCTTGCTTTTAGCCTTCTTAGTGGGTATACTACAGATTTATCAGTCGCTATGAAATTTCCAGACAACCATGCTGAGCACCTTTTCAAATGCATGATAGCCATTCATATATTCTTTTGTTGGAATATCCCTTCAAGTCTTTTTTCTGCTCCTAGTTTGCTGGGGTTTTTTTTATTTGGTTTTGTTGTTGTTGTTGTTGTTGTTTGTTTTTTGAGACAGGGTTTCTCTGTGTAACAGTCCTGACTGTCCTGGAACTCACTATGTAAGCCAGGCTGGCCTAGAATTTACAGAGATCCTCATGCCTCTGCCTCCCGAGTGCTGGGATTAAAGGCATGAGCCACCATTGCCTGGAGGCTCCTAGTTTTTTATATATGCTGAAAGTAAGTCTTCTATCAAACATATGTACAGATACCTTCAACTTTCCTCTCCATGTCTGTGACTTGAACTCACAGAACTCCATGTCTGTGAGTTTCCTTAAAACTACGTTTTTGACCAGGCAATGATGGTGCATGCCTTTAATCCCAATACTTGGGAGGCAGAGACAGGAGGATCTTTGTGAGTTCAAGGCCAGCCTAGTCCACAGAGCTATTTTCAGGACAGCTAGAGCTGTTACACAGAGAAACCCTGTCTCAAAAAAGCAAAATCAAAAAACAAAACAAAAAAATTACATTTTGATGAGCAGCTTTGATAGAATCTATCTTATCAATATCTTCTCCTTTGTGGTTATTGAATTTTATATCCTAAAAACCACTGTGCAGGCAGAGGTGGCACACGCCTTTAATCCCAGTACTTGGGAGGCAGAGGCAATGTGATCTCTGTGAGTTCAAGGCCAATCCTCTCTACAAGGCGAGTTACAGGACAGCCAGAACTGTTACACAGAGAAATCCTCTCTCAAAAAGCCAAAAAAAAAAAAAAAATCCGAACAAACAAAAAACTCAACAACAACAAAAAAATCATTGCCTAAATCATGCCATTGTTTCTTATAATTCTAAGACAGTTTTGTGTTATATTTTATGTTTCAGTCTATGTTTCATTTCAAGTGAGTTTTGAAATGGATTAAGTAAAAATGCTGCAGGTCCCCCAGCGGCAGCAGTGGGCCAGGTGGCAGCAGGCAGCTAACAGCAGGTCCTGAGAGCAGCCAGTCCCATACAGGGATAGCGCAGTTCCCCAAGTGGCTGCAGCAGGCCATAAGGAGGGAGGATAGATGGGTCTGCCATGAGACCACACGGCAGGTCTTCAAATGCAGCTGGTCCTGGGCAGGAAGTCACATGGCAGGCGAGAGACAGAGACATGAACAGGCACATCATGCAGCTTGAAGTTGGATATTTGTTTAGTAGGTTATGGAAGGGAAGAGGGAGAAGGAGAGAAGGGGAGGGAGGGAGGAGGAAGGGAGGGTAGGGGAGAGAGAGAAACAGAAGGGGGAAAGGGGAGAATGGAGAGAGGCAGAAGCTGCCTTTTGGGCAGGAGGGGGTAAAAGGAAGAGACTCAGGCTGCAAACAGGAAGGAAGATCTGCCTGCCTCAGCAGACAGGGGAGGGAGTGGGCGGGGCTTGTCTCTTAAAGGGACAGGACAGACCATTACAAGTTTCCTTATGATTTCATTTGTGTGTATGAGTGCTTGCCTGCACACGTGTACCACGTGTGTGCAGTGACCTTGAAGGCCAGGAGAGGGTGTCAGATCCCCTGTGTCTGAAGCTATGGGTGACCATGAGCCATCCTGTGGGAGCTGGGAAACGAGTACGAGTCCTTCGTAAGAGCAGACAGGGGTCTTAATTGCTGCCACGTTCAATTTTTATGTATTTTGATAGTAAGTGAACTTTTTCCTATGTGGAGATCCAACAGTGCCAATAAAATGTTGAAACAAAGTTCTTTTCAGCAATAACTGTACCTTATCCAAAAGTCAACTGACCACATGTAACACAGGCCTACTTCCAGACTCTATCCACCCTGCGGACCCATCTCTCCACCCTTAAATACGCAGCACAGGAAGACGCGTGCTTGGCTATAAACACCAAGCCCCAAAGCTAGGTCATAAAGGGTTCCTGATTTGACCCTTTTTTATTTTTCTGATACAGGATCTTGCTATGTAGCCCAGGCTGGCCTCCAACTTGTGAGTCTCCTCTGCCTCAGCATTCAGAGAGACAGAAGTCTAAGCTCCCAGGCACCATGCCCAGCTAGTTCTTCCTCAGGAAGAGCTCTTCTAGATTCTTGCCTCTTCCACATAACTTTGGGTAACTGTTTAAAAGAGCTTCGGGGATTTTTACTGGGGCAGAAATAAAATAAGTAAAACAAAGACACAGGAAGAGTAGACTTGGGGCAATTTTAAAAAAGTGAGTACAACAGAAAAATGTGAAAAAGAACAAGAGGAAAAAAAGTTTGAGGGAGCAGGGCTGGCAAGATGGCTGGGCAAATAAGCCACTTGCTTGTTGCCAAATCTGGTGAACTGCATTCTATCCAAAAGATCCACATGCTGGAAGAGAACCAACTCCTTCAAGTTGTTCTCTGACCTGTCCATTCAAGCACGGCAGCACACACATGCCACTCCCAAACTACATACATGTATGTATACATATGTATACACTATACGTAAATGAATGCAGTAAATTTTTTTAAAAAGAATTTTGAGGGACCGAGAGGGAGATAAGTGGAAAGGCAAGGCTGGTTAAAGGGAGAAGACACGTGTGATGCAAAAATCAGCATGAGCTTAAACGTGTAAATATAAAGAGCAAGAAGTTAGAACTACCTCCTGCCTCAACTGATGCTGGAGAGATGGCTAGGGTGCTCTGAGTACCGAGTGCTCTTTCAGAGGACCCTGGTTCAATTCCCAACACTGACATGGCAGCTCACAATTGTGTCCAACTCCAAGATCTGACACCCTCACACAGCTATACACGCAGGCAAAATACCAAAACAAATACAAATTATTAATTAATAAAAAGACTACAGGTCAGAATTTGGGAATGGGATTAACTTCAGAACCTTCTGGAGGCCTTCACCTTAAAATGACGGTTACTGGGTTCAGAAACCTATCAGCATACCAACTATTCAGGTCTTCCAGGTCAGAGACGTGCAAGACTTGGCCTGAATGACTAAGGTGTGGCTCATGAGATCACAGAGCATAGAAAAGTACACCTGCACGCAGGTGCTCTCCTCCGAGCCTCAGGAGCAACCGGAGAAGTTCAGCGATCATTTAAGAAAAGGGTCCGAATCAGGATCTAAGGAGCGCGGCGGGTCACAGGGTCCCTCCGAGGCCGCGCAACCTTCCGAGGGCTCCGTGTCCGTGCAGACCCACGGCCCTCCCCGCCCGCAGTTGCTGCGACGCCCTTGCCCGCCCACGAGCCCGCCCACCCGTCCGTCCTACCTGCCGGTGCACGGACTCCGCTCCGGGAGGACACGGCCAGCTGCAGAGCCCACCCTCTGCCGCCACTGGCGACCTGCGCCCTCTCCCAGGCGGCTGTAGGCACGTGATCCCGCCCCCGGGCGCTTGGCCCCGCCCTCGTGCCCCGCCCCCAGCGAATCGCTCCACCCACTAGAGTGTCGCGGTCGCGATGACGCATGTACAGGGCAGGCGCAGTGGGTCGGCGACGCCACAACGGTTCCTGTACGTGTGGGCGGAGGAAGGCTGCCGGCTCTGAGCCGCTTAGAGAAGTATGTTGTGTGGGCCTCATCGGAAAAAAGGAGGGGAGGAGGAGAAAAGACACGAAGCCTCCCGGTTCTTATGCGTCGGTCGGAGTCCCGCAGCCTTCCTAAGGCCTGTGGTGTGGGGTCACGGGGCCGTCACGCACTGTGTCACGGTTCCTGCAGGGGAAGGTTCCCATACCTGGGTGTAGGTTGGCTCTCACTCAGGGACCTTCCAATGCAGATCTTTAGAGGATGTAATTTATTATATTCAAAAGAATACAAAATCTGAAGACTTAGATATTTGTAAATTAAAGTTACCTACTTTGACCAGGTATTTTGTCTCATCGTGAAATGAGGTTGTGGATCACTGTGATTTTGAGGCTCTTTTCAGAAGTATCATTTCGTAATGTCTGCTCCCCCGCCCCCGGAATTTTGCCTTTGTGTCGTTCTCCTGAATGTAAAAAGAAAACATTTGAATGATGAACCTAGTTAGGACGTGTTGGGCTCCTTGAGTCCTGGTCTCTTTGTAGCCCAGGCTGCTCCGCGTTCAAAGCGTGCACCACTCCAAACCGCCTTGGAGCTTACTTTTTAAGGACTAATTAGCCACGAGTAGAATTTGTTTGCAAGTAAGAGTTGTGCTTTATTAATATTCCAAATAGTCTGTTTTACCATTGGTGTAAATGGGCCTATCTGTATGCCTCAATGTTAGCTTTTTAATACTGGCATTTAATTTTTTTTATTTCATCTCAGATGTAAATCCCCAAAGTAGGTTAAAGTTTATGGATTTTATGTCACTTTATCCTTTTTAAATTAAATTTATTTATTTTAGCATCCTTGAGGTCATCTGCATCGTCTGCCTGGGAAAAGATGGTCAACGTTTTGAAAGGAGTGCTCATAGAATGGTTCGTACTTTTAAGTTTACACATTGGTTCTTTTTATGTATATATGCCTTTTCCAAAATTTTTTTTTTGCTGATCTAAATGAAATCAAGGCTTCAACTTTGAATTTCCGTAAGCTTTCTTTTTAAGTGGGACAGACTTTGTTGCTAAGTTTTCTTGCTGGTGTTAACATTTCATTGTCTGTTAACTTAATATAATTAGCATTATTTCCAGTTATTTTTGATCAGAGACATATGTGTTAGATTAGCCTTGATTTGAGAAACAGTATTATGCTGAGTGGTGGTGGTGCACCTTTAATCCCAGCATTTGGGAGGCAGTAGCAGGCAGATCTCTGTGATTTGGCGGCCAGCCTGGTCTACAGAGCGAGTTTCAGGGCAGACTCCAAAGCTACAGAGAAACCCTGTCTCAGAAAAGAGAGAGAGAGAGAGAGAGAGAGAGAGAGAGAGAGAGAGAGATTAAGAGATTAACCTAGATTAAGGCTTCAGGAAGGTGGGGCAGGTCTTTAGTCCCAGCACTCAGGAAAATAGAAGCAGGCCAAGTTGGAGGCCAGCCTAGTCTACGTAGTTTCAGGCCAGCTGTATGGTGAAACTTTGTCTTTAAAAAGTAAAAAATAAGATAATACAGGAGCTCGGTTAAGTCTTTGCCAGTCCAGAATGTGCTCCTTGAAAAGAAATGAGAGCCGAGCAGAGCAAGTTTTTAAACTTCTTAGCATAACTTTCAAAGGAGAAGCAAGAAGCCACATTAGTTTCTAGAGCTGAGTTCCTCAAAGTGACCTGAAATCCAGGCCTTTGCTGCCCCTCCCTTCTCAGACTAGGACTCCTTGTTCAGTTTTCCCTTGGTTCTCTGGATGCTCGCTCCCCTGTTGAATATGCTGCTGTCTCCTTTTCTGTTTCCCTATTGTGAGTCATTGTATAGGTGCTGGTGCTTTTATTGTGCCAGCAGAGCTGAAGCGGGAGCAAGGACAAATCCTAGAAAACCTGCAAAATTTGCAGCAACACTGTCCAGTGGAAATACCATTTCCCAGTAACTACATTAAAGCATGCAATGAAACAGGTGAAGAGTTAACCCAGATATCCCAAGTTAGTCGTGATTTTTATTTTATGTGTATGAGTGATTGCTTGCATCTGTGCCTGAGGTGATCAGAAGAGGGCATTGGATCTGGAATTAGGAACAGGTCGTGAGCCACCATATGAGTGCTGGGATAGTGCAGACTTGGACTTTGGGAAGGTGAGAGTCTAACAAAGTCAGTTTACAACAATCACCAACTGTTGAGTAGGAGGGAATGTGAAGCAGGAACTAGCTGAGGAAGGTAGGGGGCGGAACTCAGAGATGTGGGATGAGGTGCGCACTGGGTGCAGAGAGAGTCATCTTCATGGAGTGGTGGGTTACAGCCAGGTTAGAGTACGATAATCATCTTTCATCATCGGAGACTCGTTCCGTGACCCCACTGCTACTACCCCTCCCCCCAGTGCGTCCTGAGACTGCAGGGCCTACCTACCATAGCATGTCTTTCCCTTCTCCGTGACTTGGAGAATTCTTAGCAGTTGCGGAACCCAAGTCTTTGCACATGCTTCACCAGTGCTGCCATCAGCTCACACCAGCCCACAGCCCAAGAACCTTCACCTGAAAATAAGCAAGGTGAGAACCCTGGAAAGACAACTGGCTGGCTGGAGAAATCTGTCACAGCACTAAATCTGTTTCTTTCAACAGATCTGGTAAAGTGTTGTTCTAACTGAGTGACTGGGAAACTAAGCATGAGCAATGGTATTTTATTTTTAGCCTGATCTGGATAGAAGTTTAATCCAAAACATTAGCCTTTTAATTCTTACATAGCCCACAGTAAAGCAGTTAAGCCAGAGTATTAATGGTGGCCATTTAGTTCTGCCTTTGGTGAACTTAAATATCAAAGTGTCTGGTTGTATTAAGAATCCTTCCTCCCAGGGTTTGTCTTGGACCACAGTATAAGGCCAAGAGCCTGGAGGTACAACTCAGTGAGCCAGCTTGTGTTCATATGATTCGGTCCTCAGCTCCAAAAAGACAAAAACACCTGTAAAACTGGGTTTTTTAAATACCTGAAAATTTGTACTTTTATGGCAAGTATCTTTTGAGATCCACCACTGATCCCCAGGTTCACAGATAGTATTTCCTTAAATCTTGCCTACTAAAGTAGTTACTGAATACTGAAGTAGACATGCACCCAGCATCTGTGATGTTCTGTTCCATTTGGCGCTGCCTCAGAGAATTTATTAGAGAGAGAAATTGCAGCTGCTTTACTGTGCACTAACAAATGGATGGGATGTGTATTGTGAGACCAACCAACCTTTTTAGTCAGGCTTAGAAGCTTTTAGTGGGTGTGAGAAGCAAGTTGGAGCTAAGAGAACATCTGTCTCTTATTTCCTTCTTTCACGGTGTTTGTCTTGTCAAACACTTTACTTCCTTAGCAGGGCCATGTTTTCAAAGCAACCAAAACAGTGCCTAAACCTTTGTGGCAAAGGTGTAAAGATACATAAATGTGTTTACTGAACAGAGCCGGTTAAGGGAATCAAATCAGATTTGTGACCTCAGCTAAATCCCAAGTGATGGATGTTCTCCACCCTTCCTGTCCCAGCAGGAGAGGGAGTGGGTAAGAGGACTGAAGTGAGGCCTACGCGTATGAGCTAAGCCTGTACCGGGCTCCAACAGCCCGGGCTAGAAATCGAGTAGTCACGTAGGGCTGCATGTCTGCAGCGGTAAGCCTGGCTGGGATGTGAGGGACAGTGCTGCTGGATCCCCACCACTTTGTTCCTCCACATTGATCCAGTGCCTACAGTTTACTGGATCCAGTATTGAGATCTCAGGCTGGGAAAACTCAACTTTAGAAATGCTTTTGGAAATGAAGCCTTATTATGTCTGCTTGAATCTGTAGCCCACACTGTGCTGTCTTTGCCCTTGTCACCCCCACCATCACCGGCCTCCACTGCCCCTGCAGTCCCTGCTGATAACTCACTGGGCCTTTATGCCTGCTTTTCCTCTTTGTTGCTTACCCAGAAGCCTTCAGTCTCCCCTGGCGTCCCTCACACCTTGACTCTGCTTGGAGAGCCTGTTTGCATTCTCTCCTCACCAGGAATAGAAATTTTCAAGAGATACATTCCAGTTGGCTAAGTGTTACCCGAAGCATGGCTTCTTCTCATTCATTCAAAGCGCTCTTCTCATTCTGCTGACAGCGTCGGGCAGTACACTTTCACTTGTGTCACAGCTAATCGCGTCATTTTGGTGGTCTCACCGTGATACTGTCTATGCTTTTCACAGATCCCCATGTTGTCTCCACACAGATGTTAGGCGGGTGCTCTGCCACTGAGGAACACTCCCCAATCCTAAAATTGTATTTATAGTGCGTTGGAAGATGGTTATAGATAATAGCTTGGTGGTGTCTGCCCTCTACATTTCCAGGCAGAGGAAGTTTTTCCTGTTAAATATTCCTGATCCCAGGATATCAACTGGATATGCAATAGTCGCTAGGTTTAGGAATTCTTATAAAGCTCCTTTGCTAGTAGGTTTCTCTCAGAGCCTTCCCTCTACTTAGAAAAAAAAAAAGAAAGAAAAAAGAAAGAAAAAAATAGTCCTTTATCCAGATTAGAATTTGTTTTGTTTTGGTTTTGGGTTTTGGGTTTTTCAAGACAGGTTTTCTCTACGTAGCCCTGGCTGTCCTGAAATGCACTCTAAGACTAGGCTGGCCTTGAACTCAGAGATCCTCTTGCCTCTGCCTCCTCATTGTTTGGGATTGAAGGCACACACCACCACCACCCAGCTTTAGATTACAATATTCCAAACTTTCTACATTTCCTATCAAATGTCCCTTAAACTGTGGTCATTAAAAGACTTTCCAAGGCCAGTGCCCTTGGAGTCTGAGTCTCTGCAGCAGTAAATCCTACTGGGATGCGGGCTACAGCTGAAGTGGAGGATAATGTGCCATCAGCAAACACTGGCAGCATGGTTCAGCCCTGAGGTAAGTGCACAGCACTCCTTGGGTCCAGTGGTTTAGCTCTTCATTGACTAATGTCAACTCATTTCATTTAGAAAAATGTAGAGATACGAGGTGTTATAACCATTTAGCCACTGCTGTTTTTAACACCGCTTAGGGAATTATTGAGAGTAATTGGTATCAGCTGTGAAAGCATTGCTTTTAATAGCAAAATAATTCACTTTGCTTAGACAACAGGCTTTTTTTTTTATTATTATGACCTCCTGTTTACCCTTTTTACTGAATTACATCTAGATCTGATTGGATTCACAAAACAGCTATTTCCACTGTGTGAAACGCATTCCTACAGAAAACAGTGCATGGTTTTGAGGCTATTTTGAGATTTCTTGTAGAACCTGAGATAGCCAAAGACAGAAGTTCTTGGAGTCTGACGTGGGGCTCAAGCCACCATTTGAGTCCTTGTGGTGCCTTTTTTGCTGGGAAAGGAGGAAGTAGCCTGGTTTTAGAGCCCGGTACTACTGAGGGTCTTTGCCAGTCCCTCTTTCCCTACCTTCTGCCCCTTTATCCCTCATATTTATATAGACAGGGCCAAGTGACTCTGATTTCCATCCATCAACCACCTGCTTTGTCCACCCCACGGCTCCTGGAGTGGCCTCTTCTGCCCTGTTTGTTTGTCCTGTGCTCTCTGTCAGCTAAGGAAGATGCAATTCTAGGCCCTGTTAAACTGCAGAGGGATAGCAATGGTTTCTCCTCTTGTGAGAGACGAGTTGTTCTTTAAAAGCCTCTCTGAAGTTGTCCTAACTTGACATCTAACATGAAGTAATGGCCACAAATCATTACTATAAGCTGAGAGGAAGTAAGACATTGAATAATAGTTCCGAACTTTAAAAATCATCTTAAAAATTCACCATGTACAAATGTAATTGCTCGAGTCCTTATGGCGCGGTTGACCACAGGATGTCCTATAATAATTTCTGTTTGTCTCCACAGCGATCCCGCCATGAAGCAGTTCTTGCTGTACTTGGATGAGTCCAATGCCTTAGGGAAGAAGTTCATCATTCAAGACATTGATGACACACATGTCTTTGTCATTGCGGAGCTGGTGAATGTCCTCCAGGAACGAGTAGGGGAGCTGATGGACCAGAATGCCTTTTCTCTTACCCAGAAGTGAAAATGCTACATGTTGAGCACTCGGAAATTACAAACCACAGACATGACAGAGAGGCCTATTCAGTGTCTCATACAACACTTAGACTTCTTACAGCATTTTGTGGAAAAGGCTGCAAGATCCTTTATTCAGACAAAAGCCCCTAAATGAATTTTTTTGAACCCTTAAAAAAAATCTTTAAAGAAGAACTAACAATTGGCAGCAATTTGGCTTTTATTGTTCTTTAATGAACTAATCATAATCATGTTGGTGCTATGGCTCGGCTGGTGAAGGCCCTTGCCACCAAGCCTGACAGCCTGAATTTGATCCCAGGGAAGGGAAGACCTCTGTGTTTGTCACCTGACCTCCACATGTGCCTCCCTTCCCACACAGACAAGCAAACGTAATCAGATATAATCATAAGTGATTTCCCTACCTTTTTTTTTTAACACCAATTAAATACACCAATAAAATAGTGGAGTTTGGTTAAATTATCACTGTAACCGAGATATTATTAATTTTGCCTCTCTCTGTTAAGTGTGCAGTAGAAACAGGTGGGAAGATAAGCTCTGCTGTGTCTTCCGTTTTCCTTCGTCACCCTGTGCTGGTGACAGTGCCCTCTCGCGTGTGCCAGCGCAGAAGATGCAGCAGAAGTACGTGTATGGCGAAGAGCTGGGGAGATATATGAAGAGGTGGGGTGGGAGACTTGCATGTGGTTGTACTCTTCGGTCATCTGAAACTGGATTTATATAAACAAAATACATAATGGTTCAAACAGATGCAGTGAGGTCAGCATTAATGGGGTAAATGTTGCATTTTTTATCCATATGCTCTAAATCTAGCTAAATCAAATATTACTCTCTTTATGCCTTTCAGCAGTCTGCTTAATTGTACTTTTCATAACAATGGAATTCAAAGCATAAAACAAAATGCAGGGGTGGGCATGATGGCATACACTGTTAATCCCAGCATTCAGGAGGCAGAGGCAGATTTCTTGAGTTTGAAGCTGTCCTGGTCTACGGAGAGTTTCAGGCTAGTCAGGGCCACATAGTGAGACCCTGTCTCAGAAAACAAAAACAATCCACATGATTTCATAGGAGGTTACATTAAAAATTGATGACTTTAATCCCAGCACTTGGGAGACTGAGGCAGGCAAATCTCTAAGTTCAAGGCCAGCCTGGTCTACAAAGTTCCAGGACAACCAGAGCTACACAGGGAAAATGCTGTCTCAAAAAACAAAAGAAAACAAAAACTCACTTCCAAGGTGTAAGATAGGAATAGAGAGGAGCAGCCTTTAGGAAACAGTATATTAGGTTGACATGGATTGCTTGTGGTTCTACCACTGGCTGGCAAGAGGTGCACTAACGGGGTCTCTCATCCTTAGTGAAGGCCATGCCTTTGGGCTTGTGGTGGGGATTTCCCAGCAGGAAAGAGAACCTCAGTGATGTTGTGTACACTGATATCAAACCTAGTTTCTTTTATTTTGATTGAAAGCAGCTATTTCTTTCAGTTAGCTGCACGTGTGTTACAGAATCTGCAAGTTGCCACAATTCTCTGTGTGTGTCATAATTCTCACCCATGTACATTTTTTTATTCTTGCATCATAATGTGAACTTCCTGATGGATTGTTACTAATTTGCCTGATACTAAAATTTGCTAAATAGTGGGAGATAGATTTTTTTTAAAAAAAAAAAAAACAATGTGGTTTTTTTTTTAAGATTTATTATGTATACAACATTCTGCCTCCATGTATGCCCGCACACCAGAAGAGGGTGCCAGATATCATTACAGATGGTTGTGAGCCACCATGTGGTTGCTGAACTCAGGACTTCTGGAAGAGCAGCCAGTGCTCTTAACCACTGAGCCATCTCTCCAGCCCCGGAGATAGATTTTTTTTTTTTAAAATTTGAGCTGAATTGGAACATTACTGAATTTTGTATTTCAGTCATTCCTCAATCAATCAGTTCAGTTTTTAATATACCTCATGTGTTTATCACCAGTACCTTTTATATTAAAGCAGAAGACTTAGGATCTCAGAAGACTTCAGACTCGGAAGAGGAAAACAAGTGAACAAGGACAGCTAAGGTGATTGAAAAGAGAATATCTCACCAGTTATTAAAAATGTGCAGGCAAATGCACAAGCTGTTTCTGTGGACATTTGGGGAAGATGGGATTGATAACAGTGAAAGTTCATGCAGCTACTTCATTGACTCAGTCAACTCCAAGCGAAGAGGCAGTTCTCGGGTGGCCTTTGCCTGTGCTCTGACTCTTGGATCTGGTTGACATTATGTGATGTACTTTAGACATCCATTATGAGAAATCCCAGTGACTTACTACTGGAGAAGTTGGCTGGCTGGCTTTACTTTCAACAAAGTCCCGAATATGAGGAGACAGTGGTAATGTGAAGGGATCCGTCCATCCATCCTTCCTCTTTTTTTTTTTTCTTTCTTACTCAAGATAGGGTCTCACTATGTAGTCCTGATTGTCCTGGAACTCACAGAGATCTGCCTCCCTCTGCCTTGCTAGTATTAAGGTTAAAGGCGTACCGCCACACTGGGCCCCAGTTTATACTTGAGCCCAGATTTCCTTCTGTGGTTAGTTATCTTGAAATTCAGGAACTCCGAATATTCCTTATAGTTGGTATAAACGTATACATTGAGACGTCAATTTTCGTCAGCAGTAACAGCAGTACTGATTATAGCTAACAAGGACTCTGTCCTCAATGTCTGATACACTACAGGCTGTAGCCAAATTTATTAATGAGAGTTGAGGATGTACTTCCACAGTAGGACCTCTGTCTAGCATTCATGTGGTCTTGGGATCAATCCCCAACACCACCAAAACTTAATACTCTTATTATTAGCGCTAGTTGTAACAGGTATTTTGATATGATTCTGCTTTTTCTCTGAGAAGTCCACTCTGGACTTTATTCTTTCTTTTGTGATTTTTCAAGACAGGATTTCTCTGTGTAGCCCTGGCTATCCTTGAATTCTCTCAGTAGACTAGACTGGGCTCGAACACCACCTACCTCTGCCTTCCCAGTGCTGGGATTAAAGGAATGCACCACCACCCCTCAGCTCCCACCCTGCAGATTTTAATCTTGTGAAGATTTATTTTTTATGTATTCTGTGTGCATGTATGCCAGCAGGCCAGAAGAGGGTGCCAGATCTCATTACAGATGGCTGTGAACCACCATGTGGTTGCTGGCAATTGAATTCAGGACCTCTTGAAAAACAGCCAGTGTTCTCAACTGCTGAGCCATCTCTCTAACCCCACCTTGTATTCTTGCCCTGCTGATTCTCAGTCTCTCTCAGTCCCTCTTTTGGTTATTTCTCTGTATTGTTTATTATTTGAAATTTTGTAACTAAACCAGAGAGTGTATCAGTCATTTTTCTTGGAACTGAGGGGCTTTGTTTGTTTCCACTGTAAAGGCAGGGTCTCCCTGGATAGCCCCACTGTTAGGAAAACAGGTGTGTGCCACCAAACCATTCTGAGCTTCCTTGTTCCTTTTAAAATTTGGGATATTTTGCTCTGAATGGCAGAGGATTCTTTTTTAAGATTTCTAGTGGGCAAGTTTTTTGGGGGGGTGGGAGTCTGCTACATCCATGGCTGTCACGCCAGTGTAGCAGAAATGCTGACTGGGCAGGCAAGTGTTGCTGGAGAATTGGGATCTGTGCTTCTTGGAGCTGTGTTCCAGGCAGTCCCTTGGCAATCAGCTGTGGTCATGATGCCACCTGTAATTGCTACCTGTACTGACTCGGCCTGACTGTCCTTGGCGCCATATGTCTGTCTTTTTCCTTGTCTGTGTGTTCTTTGTGATTCTTGCATATTGCTAACAGATCAGACTATTCCAGGCAGTTGCAGATACAAACAAGACTGTTAAAAACATTTCAGCTCTGCCCCACTATTCATTAAAGCCTTAAAAGAACTAGCCAGTTCTGGGAATTGGCAGGGTCATCATTAGGATAATTCCTTGATGATGTGGAACAAAAGGAGTTAATTTTACTAGGAAAAACCTTAGAAACCTACAGAAAAACAGTATTAGACATTTACGTGCAATTTAACAGGAGGCCTATGTAGCCTTCCTTATGGCCAGAAAACCTAGGCTGATAACAACACCTGAGCATCAGGAAGGGAGGAGAGTTGAGATCATGTCTTTAAAATTTCCAAGCAGAAAGTTTTCCCAGGAAGATAATGACCTTCCTCTCTCCCACCCAGGATATTCTGAACACAAGGTCACCTAGCTCAGACCAGCCGGCCATCTGGTGTAAGCTGATAAAGATGGCCTAACTCAAGAACAGTGGTCTCTCTAAAAACAAGAAAAAAGGCTGACTTAACAGAATGTGAGGGAGCAAAAGTCCTTATACTCATGCCAAAGCATCTTCAAAGATTCTCTTTGTAAAACTGTTTTGTGCTGATCTTTTCTATTTTATAATCTGATAATGTATGCCTTTACCAAGTTCTTTGTCTGTAAAAATATAAAAGCCTCACACTGAAAGAATAAAGTTGCAGCAGCATGTCTCAAATACATTGAGAATGGTCTGTCTGTCAATTTCCTCGCTGTATCCTGATTACTCCTGTCCTTTGCCCTGTTTTCCCCCATGGTCTGAGTGGCTCCCCCGAGCCGGTCCGTGGCAGGAGTCAGGAGTGCCGAGGATTCAAGCCAGGGTTTGGATTTGCTAGGCAAATGCTCTGCTGTTCCTCTGTACCCCACTACCCCCAAGTTTTCAGTTAAAACTTCACACTTGGAAGACAGAGATATAGGGAATCATTGTGGGCTCAAGGCCAGCCTGGTCTACATAGTGAGACCTTGTCTTTTAAACAAGACAACAGCCACCACAACAAAAACTTTAATACCTTTCTGTTTTCTTCAGAAAAATGTTTTTAATTTTCTTATTAAAACTTTCATTTATATTAGCATTTTAATTTTGCCCAACACATAGTAACTGCATATTTATGGAATACATTGTGATAATTTGACCCACGTGTGATGGCCAAATCATTGTAATTATGTGATGTAAGCCATCGTCCCCCTACTATTCTGTAGAACACCAGAACTCCCCTCATCTAGCCTTACCATTCCTCACTCACGGTGTCTCTGCTCAGTTTATCCTGTTACAAATTCATTTTGCAATGTCGCTGAGTGTACTCTAGTGCAGACCTGTCAGTACCACTCCGTCCGTCTGTCCATCCGCATCTTGTCTACCCAGCGTGTATTGCACTGCACTTCCCTTCAGCTGCTTCCTGCTCAGCGCTGTGGCTCTTGTTAATGAAGGCAAGGCCCGCTGGCATCTTCTCAGTGTCTACTTGGAGATGTTTTTAGAGTGTGGTACACAGTGCACATTCCTTGTCGTAGACTGGGGAAAGGAAGCCAAGGAAGAAAACTGCACCATCCCAGCACGTGGGATCCCTGCAGTGACTCCGAGAACATAAAGCAGTATTTCTCCACTCCAGTGAGATCATGCCTCTTGGACATGTCAACTTGCCTATCAAA